CTGACAAATAGAAAAAGAATCATTGGGGAAAATAACCTCCTGCGTACTCTTGCAGCCCCTTAAGACATTTGTCTGTTTACTAAGCTTGAGATACTTTTCTCTAAACTTATAAATAATTAGATGGTCTTTAATAGTTGAAGTACAAAGTATATTAGATAATCTTTTTTCAGTTCTTCTTTTAACTAAGGTTAATGCAATAGCAGGTGAGTTTTCTTTTTTTTTTTTTTCTGCCACCAATTCATATATCATTTCATTGTCTCATGAAAAAATCTAAATCTAGACCCCTGCCAAGTTCAGAATAAGCTTAGCTTTTGTTATTTGCTTGTGTAACTTTCTGGGACTACTAAAAAATACATGGAAGAATATCAGCTGTTCAGCAACTTTAAATATATCACTGTGAGATGATGATATTTCCAATTCCCTCGATACTTTTCATTTTACCATAATGAGAATTAGATTCTGATGTTCTTACAACACAATTTTACTATGATTTGTCTAGAAAACTGCGGCTCAGTATTGTCTGGCTCCCACTTATCATGTGTTCTTTGAATTAATTGTTTTGCTGAATAAGTGGCATAGGCCCAGCAGTTTAGCCTCCTGGGACTTCTCTTCCATGTAAGTTTTGAACTTCCTACTTATAAATTCCATTCCCATAGTTCTTTCCTGGGAGTCTGGGACATTTTTATATAAGAGGCATTTCATGAACAGGCTTCGTGAATAAGGTGTGAAATGTGACCTTGTCTCTCAATTCAGTTGCTGAGTTCCACAGGCATTGAAAAGCATGTGACTTCCCACATGGAGCCCTTTGGTACAGGCAGGTAGTATACATCATCAAACACATGCTTCTAACTAGTGCAACGATACAATCAGACTAAGTTTTACTCCATTCCAGATTATTCAGTTTGTGACAGTAAACAATAAAAAACCAGAATGTTCAGAGCCAAAAGATCCATATATTCTTTCGAAGGAACACCTCTCAGAAAATACTTGTATGAAAGGAAGCAACACTGAAGGACATTTGCTTTAAAAAATATAATTTCCTTGCAAAATAAATATTTAGTTGTGGAGTTAGAGCAATATATAAATTTAATTAATACCTTAACATTTCCTGTAAAGCTGCTTGTCAATAATATTTCCTATACCAAATTGCACTGTAGCCTTTTTGTACACCAGTGGTACACTTCCTCCTACAAATTAGAATCGAAGTAAATACTCTTTTTCTGAATGATCCTTCCTTTTTTTTCCCTGGGACTTCTTTCTTATTTCATAAAGAACTTGGCATATTCTCGAACTAATCCTGAACATATATATTCTTTCTTTTCTAGTCATCTTCAGAATTGTACTGAATGAAATGTTGGGCTGCGAGTATTGCAGTCACTAGTCACCTGCTTCTGTTGCCCAGATTATTTGGGTCTGTGGAGAGCCATCATATTCCTGGAGCAGCAGATACCTTTAACATTTTTATGTTCACCATGCAGAGATCACAGCAATATATTTCAACTTCATTTCTCCTGTTTTAATGACTTAAAACCAAAACTAAATCAGTTAGGAAGGGAAGTTATGAGTGGGGCTACATATCAGTCCCAAGGAAACCACCTCCCCAGAATAAACCTATGGGTATGAGGTTGTTTTCCTTTTTTTCAGTTATTAAAAATGCCAAATATACACAAATAAGAAATTTTTCTTCTTAGATACACCAGAGCCAAGCGTTTCTAAGTTCAACAGACTTTTGTTGATTTTCTAAATAAATTTGAGATGAGATCTGTGGTCATGTTACTGATTCTGGACTTTTAGTGCAAAACAGAAATGCAAAAGAGTCTGTTACTGTATGGAACTCATTGTCATGAGATATTTTAATGAAAAATTGATGTAGCTTGTACAAAGAATAACATATTTCCTCAACTAAGAAGGCTTTTCACTTTTATACACAATTAGAGAATTAGAGAAAAACAACAACTGAAAATTGATGGCAGGAGAAAAACATTTCCTTTTGAGCTGGTTACTTTACTTACAAGAGGGTTTCCTTCACCCACAGATATGGGTAAGGCAGAAGAGGAAACAGTATGTATGATCTGATTGAGAACGCCTGTCCCTACATCAGTTTCATGAAATATACTGGTATTTGTACCCTTGATGTTCCCCACATAGTTCTAGAAATTATCAGCTTTGTTTGCTTTTCCATGGCAGTGCATGCATACAAAATTGTACACAAATGTTCCCTCTCATCAGCTGAGTGCACATCCATAAATAAAACATGCCTTAGAAAGGTTATAGATTTAGCCATACAGAGAATCAACAAGGTCCTTAGGAAGATATGGCATTGGGATTGAAAGTCTCCAGGAAAATTAGAAGACGGGAAGACATGACTCAAAATCTTGAAGGTGACAGTTGATAAATGGAAAGAGTGATTGAGCAAATGAATGAATGAACGAATGAATGAGATGAAAAGGTGTAGTAGTTATATGGAATACTCATTCATGGTTGCCTCATGCTGATTAGTTTGTTTCTTAGCACCCTTTTCTAGGCTTCTGCCTTTTAAACAAAGTAGTGACTGCATCTGGAAGACGCAGAAGACGATATTCAACAGTCTAGGGTAAAGGATACAAAAATTTTTCTGTCTGTGTAAGAAACAAATGCCACTGCATAGCTAGCAACCTGATTTCTGAAGGGTGGACCCTGCCCCATTTTGCTCCCCAGTCAACAGGTTTAACCAGGGCTCCTCCTCCAATGATTTTCCTGATTCCTACACTTTTCCTTTTTCTCCTCCCTCATCTTCAGCACTGGTAATGCCTTTAGAGCCACAGCAGGCTTTATATGAATGCTGTAAATATCAGGAATGGCAAACCAAATGAAAGCAGCCGACTCTTTTGTGCCCACTGAAAGTTTTGCAAATGCTTTTGAAATTATAAGAGAAGGCAGGTTGTGGGGGCAGGGAAAAGAGGACGTGATTTTGTAAGATCAAGTTTAAGAGCAAGATATTTGCCAGAATCTCCTCTAAAGGAGCTCCTTACCAGGCGCAGGTCCCTTTTCTTGAATCTACTCACTAGAGGACCAAATGTGAAGATACAAATGACCAGAAATTAGAGCAGGTATCCCACTTACTGCACCAAAAAGTAAGGTGTGTTTACACTTACCCATACATTTGAAATGCTATAAAAGAAGGTGTCTTGCTTGCTTCTTTAACTGGTTTTTGTTGTTGCCAAGGAGGAATCTTCTTCTTAGTCTATGCTTTTGCTTACTGTATTGTATTAGATGACCAAAGGTATAAAACACATGGGAAAAATCAGCAGGTTTTTTTTAACCCTTGCCTAATTTAACCAACCTTTTCTGCAAAGCCCTGGGACGTACCTTAGTTTTCTCTCCCATATCTACTGAGGGTATTCCTATTAGGGGAATAATTCACTTAATTTCTTTAAAAAAATATATTTAAAAAGTCCTTGTTTACAGACTTTTAAACATACTCAATCTCAATCACCCAGCTTAAAGTCTGCGATGTAGTGATAATTAGGTATTAAGAGCTAACCAGATAACCACAGAGGTTATCTGTCTCCAGGCAGCCACTAAACACCTAAGCAAGAGTGAAAGTATGAAAATCTGAGGTGCTCAGGAGCATTTATCCCTAATAAATTCTGAAATGCTTTGAAATATTTCAAATTATTGACCTCTCTTTACAGCCCCACACTGCTGTGACACAACCTAGCATGCTTTGCAGGACCCACCCACTTAGATCACTCAGTGCTCATGATAAAAACATGATGTGTTTAGTCCCATAAACCTTACTGTGCCCCCTTCTTTTCAGTAAGGTAGCATACTGAGAACATCCCTCTCCCTGATAACTGTAAATAATACAGTTTCATTTCATCAAGTGGAGGGTTTTTTAAATGTTCTTGACTTACTGCCTGGGAATCCTTGCATTTTCAGAGGTGAAGATATCATGTAAATTATTCTCTCAGTTGACTTGGAGCTCTTCATACATCCTTCTTCCATCTGCTAATTTCACAGACATATAAGATTTGCCATTACAAGATTCATATTGTGTTCAAAGCAAAAGGAATTTGTAATGTAATAAATAGATTTTTTTTTGTTCTCTTCCTTTATAATGTTATTTTTATATTTGTCCTCTTTTTTTTTTTGCCGAGAATCCAAGCTTTACCTACCTGACTGAGATTTAAGTGATATTCAAGAGACAAATCATTTGTATAGTGTTTAAGGTGATACGTCCATAACACCAATGTTTTTCTCTTTGTCAGGATGCTAAAATGTATCTGATAAATCATGACAATCACTATCTTTAAAGTAGGGTACTTGCCTTATAAGTCATTTGACATAAAGCCAACCAGCTGCTATTGTGATGAGAATGCTCTGATGAAGTGGGTCATTGCAAAATGGTGTTTCAGTGTATTCCACTATTCTGATAAGTACACAAACATATTATAGAACTTCCTTCTCAACAGTGAGCCCAATTTATCCTGAAGTAACTCAGCTAGCATACCAGAAATGACAACAGTAATTAATGTCACTTTCCTTTTTTTTTTCCCCCACGATCTCCTGGACCATGATCCCACATCTATGAGGAAGCCAGGAAACTGTGGTCCAGTATGCCATGGAGATTCCCTGATGTACCACAAGCAGGGATGATCAGGATCACTTTTTTTACCATCCAAACCTACACTTTTTATGTGAACTAAGACACTGGTGTAGATGTGTCCTTCATGTATGTCACATTACCATTACATTCATGAGTTTCAGGTAATTTTAGGAAGTGTTAGGCCAGTTGCTATATTAAAATCTACCAAATCTGAACCTTGCTGAAATGAGAATCAAAACTCTCATTCACTTCAGGTCACAGTGCTTGGTCTTCTTTTAATTTTTTCACCTCAGAGCTAGTAATGCCAAGGTCACAAACAGTAATAAGTGGATTATTTTGGTGGCCAAAGATTTCCCTAGTGTTGTTTCAAGGAACTGGCTTTTTAATGAGAAAATATGAGAAAGCATTGCCATACATTCTCAGAGAATGTTTAATTGAATGGCATACCAAGAATAAAAGCATCTGTGAATATAAGGCTTCCAAGCTGTTTTTGTTTTCCAGTCATCTCCTTATATCTGTAGGTCAGATTCTGTCCTCGCTTCTAGAAACTGCAGCGTTCCCTCCTGCCAGCCTACAAAATATTTTCCAAGAGTTTGAGAATGATTCTCCTCAGATCTCTTTTCATTAAAGTTCTCAATAAACTGAACCAAATGTAGCTTTTCAGGAAAACTTACAGACAGCTTTGCCTAGGTTGTCTCAATTCAGATTTAACATTGCCTCAAATATTCCCTATAAAAGGAAAGTGAAATCAAGATGTTTGTGAACTATTTAGCCCACAATTCAATATTTTACATTCTGAAAGTGATTAGCAAAAAGATAACTAATAAATACTTCCAGAGACACTGAAAATACACACCACACACATTTATGTAGGAATTGCCATAATAATATTATCACTAACAGAAATATGCAGATATGAAAACATCTCGAAGTAAACATAACATTTGCACATAGTAAATACCCATATGTCTCAATAAACACAATTTTAAATTTTAATATGGCAAATGTGTGGTTCTTTTAATTGAGGATGAAAAATTAAGAACCTTTATGGGGTGAAACCTGCCATTTTCAATGCACAAAGCTGGTAGTGGGTAGAAAAGCGTGACGCACCCTGTGCAATTAGGTGGCATAAGGGCAAGGTTTGTATAGTTAGTGCATAAAGACTGAACACCAAATTAAAGTGCCATCAGGACTACATCACATGTACTCTTAATGTGACTATAATGCTGGTTTTGGCTACCAGAAGAATGTCTGCTCTTCTTGTTTGAGCAGATGTCCTCCATGACATGTCCTCTCCTGTTTTCTTTGTAGTAGTCACTAATGCACAGTTTTGTTCTTTTTCTCTGAACCCACTGCTAGTTGCAGATAGCTTTGGTTGCAATGCTAGCGAAGGAGTAAAGAAAGAGCAAAAATTTGGGAACACATTCTCAAGAGCAAAGTCTCTAATTTCCTGTAATTTTCAAATACTGTTCTTTTTTATATATATATATATATCACTTGGTTGTTTTTTGAAGAATAGCCTTATAAAACTTTTAAAATACAGTTCAACAGGACTGAATACTACCTGCAGATACATATTTTAGAAAGTCTTTGACTTTAACAAAGTGTTAGGAATAAGAAGAACGTTGCCAGCCTCAGAATGTCTTCAGTAAGATTACCTTGCCTGGCCTCCCTTGGATATATGTACTTTGTCATTCTAACACAAACATTCATAAACTGAAAGCTGTTCTTCTTCCTGGTCCTTCCTTCTGGCAACTCACTATTCTGTCTTCCTTTTCTTCCTTTGCAATATTTGCAAGCATACCAATTGTCTCAGAGGTTTCAGAGAGCTACAGTTTCACCACTGAATTCTTCAGCAAAGACTTAGGGCTTTCACAGTTTAATTTTGAGACATTAGACTGTGTTTCCATTACCAGCTATTAAGCAAAATGAAAATATCACTTAAATTCTCAGCTGAACCAATGTGTTACAGACATACTGATGGAGCACAAATATCAGTATGCTAAGATGACGTAGAGTTTCTGATCATAATAGTACTATATGAAACAGATACAAAATGACATATGTTTCTAGCTGTTTCCTCTCCCTTTAACACATAACACTGATAGCATTCCACAATTTGTTAACATTCGGGTGAGTTTAGTCAGGACTCCTGAATACCCCAAAACAGCTTTTACAGTTTCTAAAATGGGTCTGGTTCCTGGGTTTTTCTTCAAATCCCTCCATGCAGAATGGAGACTGGGCAGCAAACTTTCTAACTGTGCCCATGCACTCATAAACATCTGTAGCAAACCATAATTCTGCTGAATGCAGGAACCACATTGCCATGACATTTTGGTTATGAACGTTAGAGAAGCATGTGGCCCTGAATCCCAGTGTTATGGATTTTAGCGATCTCAAGTGGAAGCCAGCTCTCTGACTCATGCAAGCATCTGATACATGCTGAAAAACTCTTGTAAAGCAAGGCATGCGACGTAAAGGTCTTGCAACTTGGCAGCAAAAAGAAGGTCAAGAAGAGGATGGAGGGTAGCAACCCTTGGGGAGGCAATAGTTAACCAGCCATCGTCCCTCGAGCAGGCAGGCAGCTCCACCACTGCAACAAAAAACCAAATTATTAACACTAAGCAATTTAGCAGCTCAACTTAGAATAAGCAGCACATTGGGCACTGAGTACACAGTGGCAGACTGTCTATGACTCTCTGCTACCAGCCAGCCAACGAATTTTATTTTTTGCCCTACAAAGAGTTCTTTGAAAATTCCACTATAATAGCCCATTCTGTGCCCAGGAATAATTTTAGAAGGTCTGAGTCCCAGACTTACTTTTTGCAGGTGCAGGACAGCTCATTTGCACCTCCAGCTACAGCCGCTGTTTCCAGGGGCTGAGCTCCCTAGGCCAAACTCCAGCATCAGCAGAGCCATAATATGGAATATCTCTATTTTCCTTACTGATTTGCACTACCATAAGCAGGTCTGCCCTGTCCAAATCCAGTCCCCCAGAGGTGTGTGATTGCAGCAGGGTAAAACCAATGAATAGCGCAACCAGGATCCCAGGTTTTGAAAATCTGCTCCCCTCAAGAACAGCTACATTGTACCAATGTAGCACTATTTTTATAAAGGGCACATTTCTTGATCATACCTCACACTGCAAAGCTTCTGTTCAACCAACTACACGACAGTCTGTTAACACTGAAGGAAATCCCCTGAAAGCTGTGTTTGTTTGACCAACACTGACTAAAATTAGAAAAATATTAAATGAAAGCAGCTGGTCAGCTACCAGTCACAATATTATCTCAACTTCCTTAACAGGAAATATTATAATAACATTTTATTTGTTTTTTCCCCTGCTTGCTGCCACTGGGCTGTAATGTTTCTTTCATGTTGCTGATAGATCAAGAGCCCTTCTGTTGGACTCAGGCTGTACTGTGTGCTGACACCAATATGCCCAGCAAGGACCTTAATTCATGATCCACCCAGCGTCTAAGGGTGCACGGAGGCAGGAGGGAGTGGAATGAAAGCAGAGATTATTGACTGCTCTACCCAAGGTTACCCACAGCCTTGTTCTTCCTTCTAGTTCAGTATTTTGACCATAGCTCTGTAAATGTACGAAAAATGTAAAATAAACTCCTTCTCAGCAGATCTTTACCTATGACCACTCCAGGGACACTGAACCATGGAAAACGAACCATGAAATATCTGGGTGCTTTGTGAAAGCTACATCTGCCACTTGGACCGTGTTTATGTGCATGTTTTTGCTCATCCTTCCTCCGTGCAAGACAATGGGGAGTGCCTGCACAAGACTTTGCACCTCTCCTCTAACACTTGCACTCTCCCCACTACAACAACCTTTCTGCTTCACACTGAAGTCCCAGGAAAACCGAACAGGGGCCAAAATGGGGCTTGAACTCAGTGACATGAGCCGTCTTTACTGCCAAACCTCCCAGATGCCCCTGGATTTTGCCCACCACCTCAGCTCAGATGTTTTTACGGCCCTGCCATGGTTCACTGAACTCAATTTTGCCTGCTGGTTCTTTCACCCAGATCCAGAAGAGGAGGACAACCTGGCCCCAAACTGTTGGACTGTCTCCAGCCAGTTTTGCATATTCCTTTCCCCTCAAGGAATGGTCTTTGTTTCTCTGCTGTCACAATGGTTTTAACACCCCATTTACATAACACCTTAAGAAATGGACCCTGAGGCCTGGTCTAGAGCAAGAGTGTTTGTCAGGGGAGCTCTACCAGCATCCTGTCCTGCTGTGACTGCTGTCCTACCACCAAGAGGATACTTCTAACACAGCTTTTGCCGTCTCCTTCCATAAAATGAGCTGCATCAGAAAAAACATTTCCTTTTCAGTAAAAATATCGTCATAAACTTCTGTCAATAATGGAAATTCCTTTTAAAAAATATAACTTGCTTTTAAATGCCCTTTGTATTCTACCAAAGGCTTCTGCTATAGGCACAGCTTTATGCAACTATAGTTATGTTTTAACAGCATCAGTGTAAGTATACCAGGTATAATCAGTTCACAGGTTAGTGATAGCTCTTTTTCTTCAGCATATGCATTAAAAAACAATATGGCTTTCATCCATCTTCAGTAACCAAGGGTTTGTGCATATGGAAGCCATATGGAGTGTAAGAGCCTGCCTATATCAGAAATTATAACAATATATAGTAATGTGGGAATTTAAACCACTGTAGTTGGACAATATAGCCCCCTTTTTCCTCCATAAGGATGTGAATGTGTGTGTGCATGTGAGTAAAATGAGTGGTTTTATCCATTCTATCTTCTGTTGATTTGAAAGCAGTTTATCTAAACTAGAAACAAAAAAAGTATTTACTTCTGAGTAAGAATGTCCACATGGAGAATCATGGTAAAATAAATGCAGCATTTTAACTATATGAGTATCATTTGTCATTCCCACAGACACAATTGGTTCTATATCAAAGTCCTATATCATATTTTTGCATGTAGCTTCTTGTCACTACCATCATTTGCATTTTAGCAATTTGCATTTCTTCTTGCAAATTAAAAAAAAAAAAGTGTTCAATTGAGATTTGCAAATGAGCAAAGGCAGCCAGGTGAAGGCAAGCAGGGGAGATGGGGGAGGGTTGAAGGTGAAGGGAGATAAACAACAGCAAAATGTCAGCCTTGACTGGAAGGGTTTGGTTTTTCCTCCAACCAAACTTGGTGCATCCAAGTTTGCGCCAAAAGTCTAGGTAAGGAGATTTTTCTCAAATGGCATCAATAACTCACTTTTAAAAGCACATATTTATTGATTTCAGGCTATAACAAAATTAGGTCTCATATTACTCACATAGGCTGTGCAGTTCCTGCTGTAAACCTAGATATTATTCAGAAAATCAAAGTAATCTCTTGTGGGTATTAAAATAACAATACATTTGAGAAATGATTGCTACCATTTTTGAAACTGCATTAATGTTCATTATTTATGTAATATACAAGTTTAGAAGGGGCTGATTTTTTTAACTTCATTGCTAGTATAAAAAAAGTCTTTCGAGTTCTTGGAATCAGATGAATTCGAGCTTCCTTTTTTGTATAGGGTGATGAAGATAAATGTATCACTGCATATCAAAAATATATTACACATTTTATACATTTACGTATGTGGTATTCTTCATGTTAAAAAAAACCACCAAAAAAAATCTCTCGGCACTTCAGAGAATGCACCCAGAGACAGAGCTATTGTTCAGGAAAAGCCAGATTAAACAAACATGCCTGTAGTCTTGACTTGGAGGCATTTATGGAATTAACATTCTGAGTCTCAGCTGGCACCATGCTCCAAAGCTAGGGGCAGAACATGCAAAGCCTTTGGCACCTATGAGTTTCCACTGATGTTCCCATTATAGACAAAAGCCCAGTATTTTACACAACTCCGAGTCATTCCTGAACATGTGCGTTAATGGAGCCAAAAGTTTTAATTAGCATTCATGGCCTTAAATTATATGGTACTTTAAAGACTGTTGGAGCTGCCCTGACATCATCAGGCAGGCAGTGAGTGACATGACCTTAATACAGAATTGATCTGGCTAGTCTGGGTTATTAATATTCAAGAGCAGCTTAGTTCTCCGTACAGTGCAGTTTGTAAAGATACCCATGATTGGGGATTTATGGAAACCTAAACTAAATGTGACTAAACAGTGGCATATTTCCTCTTTTATCTGGGATTGCAATGCTCGTGGTCCTTTGGAAGAAAGCCCTAGGATTTGTTCCTTTTTTCATGCAAAGTAACAGGTACAGGGGCCCAGTCTGATCTTTAGTTTTGACAGGGTTCACCACTATTTTTCATTCTACATGCTAACACCAGCTTTCACATTCACTCTAGTTCCTGAGACAGCCCTGTGTCTGGTGTCATAGCTGCTACAACACATGGATAATTCAAGGGGGAAAAAGCAAAGCACAGTGAGTTCATCCCTTGACATGACCCAGAGTATCACAAGAATAAGTCCATATTCACCATCAGGAGACAGTGCTATTCCCAGCTGGTTAGCTGCTAGCACACAAAATCTCTGAAATACTGACACTGAATTGCTTATTCTGGTTGAGCCTGAGACACTTCCTTAGCCATATTAACATGGCTTCTAAGTCAATAGAACAAAATCCAGTACAGACAGGTAGAAAGTAAAGAAACCATAGAGAAAAGAAAAGAAAACAAAAACTAACCAAGGGCACTGATGCACTCGTGCTTAATTACTCAGAAGACAGTGGCATAGACAAGGGCCTGGTGTGGTGGAAGACAGCAGAGTAACTAATTCTCAGCCTGTGGTGTAACGCTGTTACAAAAAAAAAAAATGACAGATGTCATTCTGAC